CTCCCTTTCAATCACCCTGGACAGATAAACCGTAACATGCAACTTTAATGACAGTTCTCCCTCAATAGAATTTCCTGCATATTATTTAAACTCTTTTTCCTTTTGGCAACAGGCTCAACTTTTTCCAGTGTTTCTAAATTTTCATAATGGAACAGACACAGTAGTTAGAGAATTGTAGTATTTTGCTTTTGGCTTTAGTGAACACACTGAATATGCACACGTGGATATGCACGCTGACTCAGAAAGGCCACATGAAATGGACCCAGGACAAGAATTCTTTTGCTCAGGAGTGGCATTGCTCAGGTGAACTCTAAACCAAAACCAGCAGCTTCACATTTATCCAGGAGTTAAAAGGAACCAGCACATATCAGCACCTTACAAGCAGAATTTAATTTAATCTTTCCTGTAATTCTATCAAGTGTGCATGAGAATCATCCCCGTCCTACAAGCAAAGATGTCGAGGCTGGGAGTTCAGTTGATTTGGAATGAAAAATGGAGCCAGGGACACTTTATGCTGAAGGTATAACATGATGGTTAAGATGTGTTTTGGAGACAAAAGGACCTACCCTTGAATTCAGTTTCTGGAACCTAGCAATGGGACTTAGAGCTAGTTACCATTTCTCAGTACCTACTTCCACATCTGTCAATTAGGAAAAGTCACACCCACCCTAAGATGGCTTCAAGGATTAAATGAGTTGATACATATTAAAAATAGAACTTTTTTTTTTAAGTAGCACTTTTTGACAAAGCACTCGATAAATGGGAGTTTTAAAAATTATTTTACGTATTTTTATATACATCATTTACATACAATAAGATGCTTAGTGAACTTGCCATTTAATCAGTTTTGACAAGTGTTGGTCAAGTTACAGAACATTTCTGTTACTCCAGAAATTTCCTTCTTGTGCCTTCCCCAGGTAATCATGTCACACCAGCACCAGCACTGACCTATTTCTACCATCATAGAGGAACTTTGACTACTCTATGATTTCATATAAATCATACAATAAATATTTTTCTTATCTAATTTTGATCATTCTATTTTTTTGATCATTCTATTTTTAAGATTCATTCACGTTACTATGTTTCTCTGTAGAATGTTTCTCTTTATTGTTACAAAGCAATATTTAATTTTGCCAAATATAGCAGAGTTCCTCCATTTTCCTGTTTGTCGACATCTGAGTAACTTTTAGGAAGAAGAAGGGGGGGGAGGAGGAGGAGAAGAAGGCAAAAGAGAAGGAGAAGGAGAAAAAGAAGAAGAGAAAGAAGAAAGAAAAAGGAAGAGCTCCTACAAACACATGTGGACAAAGGTTCTCCAGCCTCACGGATCAATACCTATGACCAGAATTGCTGGCTCTTAGGTAAGGCAGTTGTGTCACTCTCTAAGGAACTGCCAGATCATTCATCAAAGTGCCCAGAACATTCTACATCTCTACTAGTTTCCTGTGAGTTCCAGTTGTTTGCATCCTTAGAGATTTTGGGTGTTGGCCCTACTTTGCATTTTAGCCACGCTGATAGGCGTGTACAGGCATCTTGTGTGTTTTCAATTAGCATCCCCTGAAGGCAGGCTAAACACCATGCTTCTGTCCATCAGCCCTTCCCTGTGGTATGAAGTGCCTCTTCACCTATAGGTTGGATATAGGAGTTATAAATATTCTTTCCCCATCTGTGGGGCATCTCTTTATCTTAGTGGTGGGTTTGGTTTTGTTTTTTGTTTTTTTTTTTTTTTTTGGTGAATAATAGGTATTTTTAATTTTCATGAAGTTCAGGGTATTTTTCCCCTCTTATGGCTTGTGCTTGTGTGTCCTTTATAAAAAGCCTTTGCTTTCTAAAGTGACAAAGGTCTTCTCATTTTTCTTCTACTACCTTTGTTGCTTTAGCTTTCGTGTCTCAGTGTGCAATTTCACTCACATTGATTTGTATGTATAGGATGAGGTAGGGGTTTAGAGTCTTTCTTTTTCAAGTAAATATCCAGTTGTTCCAACACTCTTTACTGAAGTAGCGTTTTTATGCCACTGAATTGATGTGGTGCTCTTGCTTGAAAGCTAGCAGACTCTACATGTGTGTGTCTAATGCAGAGTTCCATTCTGTTTCATCGATCCATTTATTTATAAAGGCAGCTATTCTAACACTACTTTTTATTATTATTTTTGTACTTTTCATTATTTCAGAGGCCATGGTTCAAACCTCAATAACTTTGCTTTGGCATTTGAAAAAGTTTTCATTTTCCTGTTCACTGATATATGTGTGTGTGTGTGTGTGTGTGTGTGTGTGTGTGTCTGTGTGTGTATACATATATATATGTAAATACACGTGTGTGTTTATGTACACATATACACCTGAACTTAGGCATATTCATTTTTTTTAGAGTGTCCAAGATTTTAGACCTAAGGTTTCCTAAAATCTCTCTTCTTTTCCAGGTACCAGGATTAGCAGTGGCTTTTAAATTTCAGCAACACAGAGGAATTATCTTGAGAGCTTGTTTAAACAGATTCCTTGGACTTCACCTCAAGAGGTTCTGATTCAGTAAGTCTGGGGAAAGGCCTGAGAATTTGCATGCCTCATGAGCTCAGGTAATGCTGATGCTGTGGGCTTCTGGACTATACTTTGAGCAGCATCGGTTCAAAAAAAGTAAATGGCTTTTCTCATGTTCATACGGAGGCTTGATTTGCCTTTTCTAAAGTCTGCAAACATAGCCACTAATTTATACTGTCTTCACTTGAAAGGACACCTGAAAAATCTGCTGAATGCACTGGAGCATAGAAGCCAGGCAACATTAGGGTAGATTGATGTACCAACATTGCCTCATTTCCTCCTTCCTTCCTGGAAATGGAGTTTTGGTCTGTGAACAGGGGCATGCACATCACCTGTGTATACTACAGCGGAATCTATCCCTGGGATGAACGTGCCCTGCTTCTTCTCCCTATAGCCTCTGCCAACAATCAGGGAAAAAGCTTTATTGTCCCCTTAAGGTTGATTGGTCTCTAAACCAGGAACATTTTTATGACTGAGTCCTTTAAAACTTCCTCTGCTGAATTTATGTTTTAAGTAGTTAGCATCTAGGTGAATATTCCTGACAGAACATAGGCATTCTGAATTAAAGATCAACACGCTCAAAGCAAAGCACTCAGTCATCAAAATCCCAGTCGCAACCCCTAAGCTTTTCTTGATTTTTATGACAAGCACAGAACAGCTTTTTAGCTTTCTTTTTCAACAGATCAAGAACATGTGGGCAGAGGGACTGCACCACGACCATGTGTCTCTTAAGCAGAATGTTGAGATTTGTGTGACGACTCAAGAAAGGGGCACTATTTTTTTCCTGATTGTTAAATCACCTATTTAGCCTCTGAAACCATGTTAGTGGGAAATGAATTCATAAGTAATATTTAGACAAACTGCTTTAAAGCTGCCCTTTGGAAAGGAGATAAATTATTTCCCTCTTTGAGAAAAATTAAAAATTCACTGAATAGAGGGAAGAGAGGGGTTTCAAATGCCACCCTCACATGTCACCAATCCCATAGCACTCTTTTCAGAGGTACTGTGAGTAGTGTGAACATCAGAGCTCAATCATTTCTGCATGGGCCTTGGAGGATTTTACAAAAAACTAGAAAGTAGATGTGCTTCCTCCTGAAAGGAAGGGCTTTTCATAATCAACGAAAAGTATATACCACATTTCTTTCAACACTGAGAAAGTCAGAGATAAAATGAAAACGGGCCTGAGGTGACAATGTATTTCATTTCTATCAGCTCTGGACCTCTCCCTTGCACTACTGATGACACACGGGAGGCCTCTGTGCCTGAGAAGGGAGACAGCCAGTACCTTAGCTACAATTGTTCTCCCAATTTCCAGAGCTTTGGGGTGATGAGGGTCTTCTTTTTTTCTTTGAAGGAAATTAAAAGGACAGCAAATGAGCTATAGATGGAACCCATAGGAGATGTTCTAGAATTTCTCTTAAATTTGTCATGTGGTTCTATGCTGTTAAACCACATTTCCTCAGGGCTGGTAACCAGCGGTGTATGCAGGACTACTATTCTGTACAGGAAGTAAGTCTAGAGATGTCAACTCTAATATTGTTGAGACTGAGTCTGCTCCCTGACCCTTCTTTGCTACAGAGTCTCAGAAAACCTTTTTACTTATATCTCCTTTGGTTCCCAGAACAGAAATCCCTATTCCAGATGGCTGGCATTAGTAGTATTTGTAACTTTTGCCCTCAAGCTTACATCACAATGCCTGAGCCACAATAAACGTGCCATTCTATAGGATTCTCTCTGCCCTCCTTCCATCTGTCCCTCTCTCTCCACCTAGAGAGTGTGAAAGAGATTACACAACACTCAGTGAATTTTATATATACCCACATATAATACATATGCATTATACATATGCATGTATGTGTACACACACACACACACACACACACACACAGTGGATTCTCACTGAAACCAGAAAAAAACAAATGGAACCTCCTTACCCAAACTCAGTCTCCCCCAACATGGGTATATATCCAAAAGAAATATCAAGATAGACCCTTCCTAAGACCTTACGAAATAATACAAAGCTTTGGCACAGAGAAAGTGAGAATTAACCGCATATTTCATAGTGCCACTTCTTTACTCATCTCTGTACCTGAAAGTCCCATCACATAGGCACCAACTTCCATTTCACTTTTCTTTCTATCAGAAATACCTGAAAAAGCCTCCCCCCATGCCTTGTCTTACTCCCCTTAGGTCACTTCCATTATTATTGAGATAATGCGGACTTCAGTTTCTCTTACTGTACAGCTTTATTTATCCCACCACATCCCAAAAGTTGGTAGCAAAAATGTTAAGATCATTGCTTAAAAGAGGAAGGGAGAAAGGAAAGAGAAACAGGGCATGAAGAAGATAAATGGCTGTGAAAATGATTAAGCATCTTTAAATGCATTTGTCTTAAGAAAAAAAAGATTATACATATCTATATACATTACATATATATATCATCTCTCAAAATCAAATGTCCATACCTTAGCAGTCCTAATCTTCTTGAATCTTCAACACCAATTTCAGGGCAACATTGAGGTTGAGATAATCTCCTCAAGCCACCACCAAGGGGATAGTTTTCTTAACCTCCACACGGGTTCCAGCACTGCCTTCTGAGGACAGAGGTTTCTTCCACGTCTAGAAAAATCACAAGAGAAAGAAGGTATTCACAAATAAAAACTAAACCAAAACTTGGATGGGGATATGAAATTTCAGGCCATTTGGCTTGGAGGAACTAAACAGAAGACACACTACACTCTGATTGGCATAAATACAAATAATAGCTGTATGGATTCAGTCTTCATTAGACTCAGGCCATCATACAAAAGCAGAAAAAGTCACTACATCCAGGCTGGCAAATGTTTTAGGACAGGACTAGTCAAATTTGCTCATTTAACTTTCAGGGAAACTTAAGATCAGAGAGGAAAAAAGATTTTTCCATGATAATTCATGACCTGTGGCCTAATTCCACTAGTGAATAAACACAAACGACATGACTAACACTGTAGTCTATGTTAGAACGAGACAGGGGACCATGCATCACTTCCTTACCTTGAGATCATTCCCTCACTTGGCTTTCAAGATACCAAACTTGCCAATCATTACTGGCTGCTCCCTCTTGGCTACCTCTCTGAGATCCTATCTCAAAATGTTCAAAGTGAGAGTATCCTGGGACTCAGTCCTGAGCCTATTCATTCTCTCTGGGCACTCACTCATCAGGGGGCATCTCCCAGCTCCATGGCTTGAGAAACTATACACTGACAACTCTGAGATTGTATCCAGGCCCAGATACTTCACTGAACTCCAGACTCCCATATCAACTGACTATCCAACAAATCTGCTTGGAATTCTAATAGCCATGTCAGGACATGCCCGAAGTGAAGTCCTGATTCTATCACTAACAAACACCCTCTGAATAAAAAAAAGGAAGGCTCACACTCTTCCTAATTTATTCTTTTCTGATGGCAATTTTATTCACCCCTCTGGTCAGGTGCAAACCCTGCCAGTCAACCTTTACTCTTCTCTCTCATATATACCCCATGCCTTCTTCAAAATTCAGTGACTTTCTCACCAGAATGAATACAAAAGCTGACCACTTTTACCTGCTCCTTCACTAACACTCTGGTTCAAGGCATCATTATAGATCTATACGGCTACACAGCAGGCATGCTCAAACCATGGCTGTCACTCTCAACTTGTCCCCTGAGTAAGAGAGTGACACTCGACTGCTCAATACCTTCCACCTCACTCAGGATCAAAGTCAAAGTCATTACAGCGGCCAAAAAAGGCACCACATGACATAGCTGTGTTACCATTCTCTTTATCCCCTACCTTCTCTCTCATGAGCCCTGCTGGCCTCCCATCAATTCCTCTATCTCTACCTGAGCTTTGGGACTTACTATTCCCTTCACCTGGAAGGCTGTTTTCCCCCTCACTACTTTCTATCTTTCTTCCACTGTGACCTTGTCACAATTACTTGAAATAGTAAACACTGACTACATCTCCACATTCCCCCTTCTCTGTTTCCAACCAAGACTTGCTCATATACTATATGGTATACCTGTTTATCTACCTTTCCCCAGTAAAACAGAAGCTTCATGCAGGCAAGGAATTTTATCTCTGGTGTCCTGCTGTACTTCCAGCACGGTCACTCACCACCTAGCACCAATGTGGAGCTCAATATGTCTCTCTGAACCAATGGACAAACAGGAAGTTTATGTAAAAACTTCTCAAGGGCACTCAGATGATAAGTGGCTGAGCCAGGCTTAATGCAAAAGCATCTGTCTCCAGCATTCCTGACTGAAACAAAAATGGTATGAAAACCTTTTAGTGTTGGTAGAAGGAATAGGTTCTGTACAGTTTGGCATGTGACACAGAAGATGTATATTATTATTTGAAAAGCCAAAAATGATTTCTAGAAACTCCTAAAGAGAAAATATTGCATAGAGTGGGATGGATCTGCTTACATCCTTATGTTGCAAACTCCCTATTAATGCTCACCTTGTCTTTCTTAGTTTTCACTGCTCTTTGTTCGACACTTCAGACACTTCATTCTTGTCCCTCTCTCAAATCTCAGTCCCTGCCTCAACTGAGTGAACAGGAGGAAAGAGATCCAAGATTAGATAAAGAGACAGGTTTAGGGAAGAGATATGAAGCAGTAATCACAGGACCACTGATCTAATTGGGCCACCAACAGACCAGGTGCCTTCAGAGAGATCTCTTTACCTTCCTGAGAGCCTACTGCTCGCTGGGCTAAAATGCATGTCCTCCAAAGAGTTCCCAGCTAGAGAGAGAGAGAGAGAGAGAGAATGAGTGAGTGAGTGAGTGAGATTACTCAGAATGATGGAGACTTTTGCCAATTACAAGGTAAAAGTAGTCTTAAGACTGGTTAGGAAGTAGGGAACAATGTTTAAGAACTAGGCTTCAGGACAGTCCTAATATTATTCACATCCTGGTTCCATCACTATGAACTGACCAAGACACTCCACCTATCACATTTTACTGTCAGAGTGAGAAGTTAGAAACACCTGTCTCTTTCAAGGGTTTATGAAAATCAAACAAGGTAACAGAGGTAAATCACTTGTTACTGTGCATGGCCTAAGTACTCAATAGATATTTGTTCCTCTTAATTCTCATTTTTTATTGTTGCAGGCTGACACTCTGCATGAAATTTCATGATTTTATCTACCTGTCTGCAGAGTCTGAATCTTTTCTACCGTTCTGCATATATAATCGCTTTCATGGTCCTTAATGTCTTTCTCAGGAAATCATTACCTCAACTGCCCTCACATTCTAAGGGCAGATGGCAGAGCTTTGTAACATGAGAAACTCAAATTCCTTGGTTCATTTCTTGTCCTCTCACTGATGACCAGCAATTTGAGATGATCTTGGCCCCAGTATTATAGCAGGCTGACAATCAGAAACCCACAATCCACAATTATTCCTGCATTCCAAAGCCAAGAAACACAACTTTGAAAGCAAACAATACTATCATTCAGCACAATGATATATGGAGTTATTAAAGAAATTTTGCTGACTGCTTTGAGAATTCAAGTCCCAGTCTATCCAGATGCATCTTTCTTTCTTTACTCCTTAACTGATATTAAGAAACTGTCTATGTTCTGGTAGCAACAACAGAAAAATATGTCACCTACTTTTCAGGTTTAGCTACACCACACCTAATAAAAAGTTAAGATGCTTTAGGGAAAAATCACTTCTACTCCATGGTAGGCCACTGAGGGACTTGCTCAAAAATGCATTTACCATCAAATGTTTTTCGAGTACATAAAATTTACTATGCACTCTGTTAAGGGTAGGGACTACTAATGACTTTATCCCTACCCTCTCGAAGCTTTTATTCCAGTGGTTTTTCATTGTCTTTCATAATTTCCTAACTTCTGCCCTGATACAGGAAGACATAAACCCCTAGGAAGCTGTTGAGTCACTCAAATAGTGACATAGAGTGTGCTGTTATAAATAGCCTGATTTCTGCTTGGTATAGGGAGAGAACTCTGTAATCCCTGGTTTTCTCAAGAGACAATCCAATTTCCTCAGTTTGTTCCCAGGCCCCCATCCAACACATACCTTTCTCTTCATTGATCCTGGTTTATTTCCCTCCTTCAGCAAAGAAATGAAAAGTAGTCACTAAATCCACAAGTACACATCTATCCATTAACAAAATGCTATGTGGATGGGATGGTATAGAAGGCACTGGGCTCAGATAACACAGCTGCAGAAATCAGCTCTTTTGAAATCTTTGGAAACATGATGAGATTAATGCTGTTCTGTGGCAAAATAAACGAAGAAAGGATATTTGAGGAATATTGTCAAAGGGAATAATGTCAAGAAAGAACATGTGTCTTCCATCACCAGCGTCTGCATGGTTACAGTTCTAATCATAGAGGTGGGTGTAATCTTTGCCTGTTGGGCAGCCTTGAATGCTTCAGGGAATATGTCATTTTTCAAAAGGTATCAATTAACGGTTGGTTTGATGGCAGAGTGTGAACCACACCTCTCTAATGATTGGGCTGTGTTAACAATAATTCCTGTCAGTATAGAACACACACAGGCACTGATCTGCAAAGGGCACACTCCCCACAGAGGGCAGGATGAGGGAGAGTAAGAGAAGGACTTAAAGATCCTGGAAACTCTAAAATGGATCTTGATTAAGATCTCTGGATGGTGCATGCTAGGGGGAAGGGATGAACTGTGAATTGAAATCTATCAAACTAGGCTGGTTTTTACGAGAAAGTGGAGTACTGCCATAGGACTTAACTTTCCAGGAGAAGCACTGTGATGATACATAAACCATGTATGTGTCCAAGGCTGTGCCTCACAGACCTCCACACAGCATCTGTATTGTCAGCAATGCTTCACTGCATGTTCATTTCCTCCATTTGCATATGAGGAAGTCATTAAGTAATTTGTGTGAAATCACACAATGAGAAAGTGACAGGATTTAAACTCAAGGTTTTGAGCTTATTGCTGTTACCCAAATATGCTGAAAAATCACAAAGGATTCTTTCCTAGATTTTCTGATTCAACTGAGTTCTGACACCTGGAAATGCTGCAGTTTTAACTCCAAAAGAAGAATTTGGTCAGTCTCCTAAGAATGTAACTGTGAAAATGGGCCCAGCCCCACCTCTGTCAAGGAGAGTGAAAGCAGAGGGCAGGTTTCTTCCAAAGCCACAGAGGAGGTCATATTACACCTCCACTATTGGAATAGTTGCTTCCTGAGCAGCAGATTCAGGGAACCGAATCACCACTGGTAGTGGGACTCAGTTTGTAAAATATTACATTTCCTACCAGCTGATATTATGAAACAATGTTGGGTCCATAAAACATAGAATACTTTGAAGATCTGGGTGCTCATCTATAACTGCAATCACTACCTTTGGGCTAAATCTGCAAGCCTTCTATTTATTCCTAATCTGGACACCAAATAAACTACTAGGGAACAAAAGAAAATTTGTGTCACTGGATTTTAAGGATTACAGAAAACATCTAATGACTTTTAGATACCTGATCTCTTGCCAATTCATTAGCACTTTATTTCCTTACCTAGTTAGCCTTTTAAGCTGAACTGAGAAATCAAAAGGACTCTAGAAGAAATGTCACTGAACATTGTAATGAAACTT